ATATAACAAGTGGGTACCCGTGCGAATTTATACGTCATTGCATGGAGCATGAGTTGAAACGAAAAGGTATTTCGAAAACTTTGGACACCCAGGCATCTAAACTATTAACCTGGCAGATACTCCCATACGTGAAAAATGTATGTGAGTTCGTCGAATGACAACAGAAAAAGCATCAGGTACAAGTGACACAACAACCTGCGACCACCTTCCGTACACTACTCATACGCCATGAGGACAGGGTTGGTTATCTTGGTTTAAACGTTGGTCTAAACGATCCTGTGTTCAAGTTGTGATTTCGTGTATTGTGGCCAGACAGGAAAATCTGCCTCAAACCGCAGACATGACCATCATTTAGCGGTAAAGAGACGAGACCATCTTTTCCAGCTGGCTATGAGCACACTGACCACCGTGCACAAATTTGCATAGGAGGACACTCGCACTGTTGCCGTCTGTCAAAAGAAGAAAGGCCGCCAAATACCGGAGGCAATCCACTCAGATAAGGCATGCATGAATCGGCATATCGACTTAGATGCAACATACAATTTTCTCAAGGAAAAGTGGAAGCGAGCGCAGTCAATGCCGAGGGGATGACAACACCCATTGCGTCGAATCGGCGCATTCTCGGTATCATCTAATCAACGTATACCACTAGTCGCTGTGCGAATCCCTGCGAGGGATTAAGCATGAGCCCCAAGGAACAACAATGCGAGGATGTTCTGTAACCGGACCAGTGAAGGCCCATCTGTCATAATTGATATTCCCGATCACAACCGACAGGACGACGGGCCCGTGGCTCAATGGTAGAGCGTTAAACTCCATGACCAAAAATCCCCCGTTCGAATCTCAAGTGATCCATACTTGGGGTTGGGTATGACTGGCTGATGACGGCTAATAAGCCAGAAATGGCCATTCCGGAATCCCTTGTATTTGTCGGTATCACAGTATCAACATATACCACTAGTCGGTGTGCGACTGCCTGCGAGGGCGTAAGAATGAGCCCCAAGGCATAACAGAACATGATCGTTCCGTTGTGCCTTGGGGCTCATACTTAAACCCTCACAGGCGGTCGCACAGCGACTACTAGTAGACATACATGAGATGGAGCCGACGAAGACAAGGGAGACCGAAATGGCCATTTCCGGCTTATTAGCCGTCATCAGCCAGTCATACCCAACCCCAAGTGTGGATCACTTGAGATTCGAACCCGGGATTTTTGGTTATGGAGTTTAACGCTCTACCATTGAGCCAAGAGCCCGTTGTCCTGTCAGTTGTGGGCGGGAATATCAATCATGACAAGGGACAAATACTGGTTGATAAGCCGACAAATCCGACAAAGACTGGCTGATTACGGTTATTAAGCCAGAAATGGCCATTCCGATCTCCCTTGACTTTGTCGCCTCCATCTCATCTATGTCTACTACTAGTCGCTGTGCGACTGCCTGCGAGGGTTTAAGTATGAGCCCCAAGGCACAGCAGATCGAGCATGTTCTGTAAAGTGATCGGTGAGCGCGCAGAAAGTCTGTGCATTCCGAGGTGATGAAATGAATAATACAAGAGGTTCTTCGGAAAAGTAGGGTGGTTCTCGTGAATTTTCGAGCTGGTGACACCAACCCGTCGTCATACGTAAGTAAAACGAAGGAGAAAGTTATGTTCTCACAGTAGTCCAGTTAATGTGATAGGACAGAACAGACCACTGACGTGTGAGGTGGGGGTTGGCTCCCGCGGTCATGGTAGGTCACTGTGTGAGAAGCTGGGAAGGGAGAGGAGGCGGAACAATTACGGCGCACCGTGCTGGATGGGGAGGGTGGGTAGTGAATCAGTTGGAATGCGGGCGGCTGTATTGGCGGACGTTGATGCGTGATTAGGGCAATGGACAGTCATTCGTTAACGTAGACCCTCATAATGGGCATCTAAGTCAACGTGGCGGTTCATACTACCCGCATTGGAGTACCAAGCCTCGAGAAATTCCCTCGTTAACTTTGTATTAGCCATGGCGACGACCTCAGTGCCATCCGAATTGAATCGGTGGTCGTACTCGAGTGCATGGCCAAAGACGAGGGACGGGTGGTCTCGCCGACGGATAGCTAGTTTGTGTTCGTTGATACGGGTGCCCAGGCATCGACCTGTATGGCCAACATACACGCAAGAGCAATTAGCACACGGGATGCGATAAATTACGTTCGTTTGTTGCTCTTTGGGGCTGGGATCCTTCACTCGAGGTAGTGCTGCGCGTAGTGGAGATGCCGGTTTGTGGGCAACGTGAATACCCAAGCGACTGATCTGCCGGGTGATTATTTCGGATGTTCCACGCATATATGGCAACGAGTAAAATTTTCGCGTCATAATCTCTCCGTTGGGGGTGGGGTCTTACGACTGTGTCTGTTGCCTGAGACAGTTCTTTACAAAACTGATCGGATATCCGTTAGAGCAGAATAACCGATACAGGTGAGCAAGGTCTTTGTTCATGAGATCGTTGTTGTTACAATAACGGTAGGCCCGGTGGAATACTGTTCGTAAGCAGCTTCTTCTGTGAGCTGCAGGGTGGTTGCTTCCATAGTTGAGGATAATCTCAGAGTTAGAGTCTTTCCTATGGACGCTTGTTGCCAGGCTACCATCGCTCAACTTCTGCATTTTCACGTCCAGAAACGGCAAGCGGTCTCCAATTGCCTATTCGCGGTTAAACTGTATGGCTGGGAAGAAATCATTCAGTCTCCGTTCGATTTCGCACTTCTTTATTATGACAAAGGTGTCATCAACGTAACGAAGCCATAGTTTAGGATTCATTGTTTGGAAAACTATCTCTTCTTGTCGCTGCAAAACTAGTTTGGCGAGCAGTCTTGATATTGGTGAGCCCATCGGGGTTCCCTTTACCTGTTGGTAGTACCTATTATCAAATTGACAATAGTTACTAAGGCAAAGAATTAGCAGTTCTATGACATGCTGCGTTGAGATCTCAATAGGATTGTTCTGTAGGCGTTGGGCTAAGCATTAAATCGCCAAATCGTGTTGTATGGAAGAAAGCAAGGCAACGACGTCTAATGACTCGAAGCATTCATCGGTACTTACTTTGAGGCCTTGTACCCTGCGGAGGAACGCTTTGGAGTTGTTAATGCTGTAGTCCAATCCATGAGTGAGCCGCTTCAAACGACTTAGCCATATTGTAAGTGGGTGATCCGATAAGTGGCACTATAATCCTCAGGGGAACATCCAGTTTGTGCACTTCCGTGAGGCCATACGCGTGTGCGATGTGGGGATCACTAGCTAAGCGAGCAGTCCTAATATTGTTAAGCCCATCGGGATTCCCTTTACCTGTTGGTAGTACATATTATCAAACTGATAATAGTTACTAAGGCAACGATTTAGTAGTTCTATAATATGCTGCGTCAAACATTGGGAGAAATTCATACAGAGAGATGCGATGGCTTGCGAACAAACTGACTTTCCTCCATCGCTGTCGCGACCACGGTGTGTTACCGAAGTCTCTTCGTTTCAAACCGACGTTGCCGAATGAGACCGGGAGATTTCTTGCGCGCAAATACGGATGGCGTGTTTTGAGTGCTACAGTATCGGACGTTTACAATCATCTCCACAAATTCGAAGCAAAAAGTACTGACCAAAAAAATCAGTGCGTTTCAGTGCTACCTGAGCACGTATTCGAGGATGTGCAGCAAAGAATAAACGCCACCACCAAGGATGCCAGATTGAAGAAGAGACGTGATCTCCAGGAGAAACTGCAATCACTCCTCCGTCCTACGAACCAAGGCAATTTGACCACGAGAGTTGTCAACCTATTGAAGAGGAGTCACTTACCTTCGGAAACCACCCTCCTATCAAAGGGAATAAGATTTAATCATGCGGATGCCACACATGCCGACTTCGTAGCTGGGCTTGAGTCCATTCTACTGGTCTCCAACATTCCGGAAGACATGCGCGCGAACATGCGAACCTGCGCCACTGGTATTCTCCGGCAAAGAAGATACCAACAAAATCTACCGGCCGAAGAAGCGCAAGCATTACGATAATTGAAGTCGGATCACAGAATTGTCGTTGTTCCCGCTGACAAGGGTGGCGCTACAGTCATCATGGACAAAACTGAAAACGCTAGCAAGGCGAATGAAATCTTCAGTGACATGGAGGCCTACACCCTTCATGCTGAATACCTGACTGAAAAGCAAGCCGCAGCCATCAAAAAAAGGTCAATGAGCTCGTTCGTTTGAAAGTTATCAGTCTAGATGACTCCAAGTTGATGACTCTCAGTGATCCCCACATCGCAAACGCGTATGGCCTCACGGAAGTGCACAAACTGGATGTTCCCCTGAGGATTATAGTGCCACTTATCGGATCACCCACTTACAATATGGCTAAGTCGTTTGAAGCGACTCACTCATGGATTGGACTACAGCATTAACAACTCCAAAGCGTTCCTCCGCAGGGTACAAGGCCTCAAAGTAAGTACCGATGAATGCTTCAAGTCCTTTGACGTCGTTGCCTTGTTTTCTTCCATACAACACGATTTAGTGATTTAATGCGTAGACCAGCGCCTACAGAAAATTTCTATTGAGATCTGAACGCAGCATGTCATAGAACCGCTAAATCTTTGCCTTAGTAACTATTGTCAATTTGATAATCGGTACTACCAACGGGTAAAGGGAACCCCGATGGGCTCACCAATATCAGGACTGCTCGCCGAACTAGTTTTGCAGCGACAAGAAGAGATAGTTTTCCAAACAATGAAGCCTAAACTATGGCTTCTTTATGTTGATGACGCATAATTAGGATAGGACCTGTGGCGGGGGAGGTGAGGGCGAACTGTTGGGGCTCCTTGTGTTGGAGGGTAGGGGAGGGGTGACGATTAAATGCGATTACTGACAGTTCGTCGATCCGACATGCGGGCAGAGGTCAGTGATCCAACGCAGAGGTGTTAGGGATTGCAGTTGCGGTTCGATGTGTCTGGGGTAGAGGGTGGCAAAATTGTGCGAGTATACATGTCCCAGTACGTGTTAGCGGCTGTTGTTAGGTCGCAGGCGCAAGTAGGTGAGCCGGGCACGTAGACCTTCGTAATGAGCGTCCAGATTAACATGGCGATTGATGCTGGTCGTTTTAGGGTTCCAGGCTTCGAGGAATTCTCGGGCCTGTTTGTTGTTTGCCGTGGCAACAACTTCAGTTTCTTCCCCATTGAAGCGATTGCCGCATTCAAGGGCGTGCGCAAACACTATTGACAAAGGGTCACGCCGGCGGATGGCTAGTTTATGTTCGTTTATACGCGTCCCGATTCGTCGGCCTGTGTGACCAACATAGCCGTAAGAGCAGTTAGCACACCGAATGCGGCAGATGACATTGCTTTGCTGCTCTTTGGCTACGTTGTCTTTTACGTGGGATAGCGTTGCGCGTAGAGAGGACGCCGGCTTGTGGCCAATGAAGATGCCAAACCGATTTAGTTGTCGGGCGATCGCTTCGGAAATGCCCTGGATGTAGGGGACTGAGAAGAATTTCCGTATTTCTGGTCCCTCATTAGAACCAGTGCTTTGTGGTTGTCTCCGATGTCTGAGACAGTTTTGGCAAAGCTGATCGGGTACCCGTGGAGCCGGAATAACCGATACAGGAAAGTAAGTTCTTTCTTAAGCATGTCATCGCTGCTGCAGTAACGATAGGTCCGGTGGGAAAGGGTTCGCACACAGTTCCTTTTATGAGCCGCAGGTTCGTTGCTTTCATCATTATGAATGACGTCAGCACTGGAGTCTTTTCGGTAGACGCTCGTTGCAAGACTGCCATTGCTGAACTTTTGGATAATAACGTCTAGAAACGGAAGAATGCCTCCTGTTGCCTCTTCGCGAGTAAACTGGATAGCTGGGAAGACGCTACTCAGACTCAGATGCAGTTAATCAATTTCGCAGGTCTTCATGATAACAAACGTATCATCTACGTATCGGAGCCACATTCATGGCCTAAAGGTTCGCATAACTTCCTCTTCTACTTATTGTATTAGCAGTTCAGGTAGCAGACCTTATATTGACGAGCCCATTGATGTACCCCTAACCTGTTGATAAAAATTTCCATCGAATTGGCAGCAATTCTTGAGACAGAGTCTAAGAAGTTCCGATATGTTTTCTAGTGGAATGTTGGTTGGATTATCTTGCAGGTGTCAGGTTACGCTCTCAATCGCTAGGTCATGTGGTATTGAGGAAAACAGGGCAACCACATCAAACGATAGAATACACTCATCAGGACTTACTTTGAGGCCTTGGATATTCCGGAGGAATGTCTGAGAGTTAATGATGCTATATTGGGATCCATTGGTTAGGTGCTTCAGGTGCATGCATAACCATTTAGCGAGGTTGTAGGTGGGCGATCCAATAAGCGGCACTATGATCCGCAATGGTGCACCTTCGTTGTGTACCTTTAGGAGGCCATATGCATGGTTTATTCGGGGGTCGTTGAGAGTCATAAATCTGGAGTCTTCGGGGGTTATGAGCTTCAGTCGAGTGAGCTCGTTTACCTTCATTTTTATAGCTGCGGCTTGTTTTTTGGTCGGATCCTCCGCGAGTGGTGTGTAGGCTTCCCTGTCGTTAGAGACTTGGTTCGCCTTGTTGACGTAATCACTCTTTTCCATGATGACGGTCGCGCCACCTTTGTCAGCAGACACAATCACTATACTGTCCTCTGTCTTGAGAGACTGTTACACCTTTTCTTCGTCGATGGGCAGGACTTGGTGGTGCTTCTTTTGGCGAAGTAGACCAGTGGCACAGCCGCGTATGTCCGCGCGCATGTCTTCAGCCACAGCGGAGGTCAGTAAAATGGATTTAAGGTTCGCTAGGAAGTTTGTGGGCGAAGCATAAGTGGGGCTGAATTTTGTTCCTTAGATAAAAGACTAAGATCAGCGGATGTTAAAATACATTTAGAAAGATTAACAACTCTTGTCGATCTGCTGATTTTGTTGACAGGGCGAAGAAGAGATTGCAGTTTCCTTCGAAGGTCGGCTCAAGGGCCTGCGGATTTGAGCAACTGCATCTGAGTCTGAAAAGCGTCTTCCCAGCTATCTAGTTTACTCGCGAAGAGGCAACAGGAGGCATTTATCCGATTCTAGACGTTAGTATGCAAACGTTCAGTGATGGCGGTCTTGCAGCGGGGTGATGCATCGTGTTTGTCTTTGACATCTAACTGACTCTTCTGCTTTGTAGGTGACAACTGTTGAAGGAGCCACGACTCGCCCGCCAGTACTGTCGGCGCCGTCTGGACTAACTAGAGCCTTGTAAATAGCGCCTGGTATGCTGGATGAAGATCAATAGCCCTGTTGATTGTGTCAACGGAGGACCAGCTTTCGTGCATCAGCCTCGCCATCTTGCCCTTTGTTCAACCGAGGACGCTTTCTTCCCCATAGGCGAAACTATGTTTCTCCTGTTGCATTTGGCCATATACCAGTGGCAGTTTTCCTCGCGTTTGACTGCATGCTGGTGCTCTTGCAGTCTTGTGCAGAGGCGTTTCCCGTTTCACCAAAATACCTTGCATCGCAATTTTGCCACGGTTTGCTTTAGACCACTGCTGATTGTTCAGTTGCCGGTAGCGGGTCTTTGGGTCTCAGTATTTGCTGTCTGATAGTGGATTCCGGTTTATGGGTCACCCGAATCCCAAAAGGGTTAAGGATTCCAACTGTCGTCTCGTGACATTCTTCATATACGGGAGCGAGAGCGAGAACTTTGGTTTCTCCTCGTTCGACCGCCCAGAGTGGGACTTCCTAAACAACACTTGCGTATGAACCACTCAGGGTAACCGTAGGGCACGTAAGTACTTCACCTCCTTCTTCCTGTCATCGTCGTCGCTGCAGTTTGTTTGTGCGAGTTGAAAAAGGGTCCTGACACAGCTGCGTTTGTGACCGACGGGGTGGTTGCTTCTGAAGTGGAGGATGCGCCTAGTGTTAGTCGCCTTATGGTAGACTGTCGTGGGGTTTCCGGCGTGGTGTTCCGGTATCTCACGGACGTACTCACGAGACCGGAAACACCACGTCTGAGAATCAACGTTCGATCAACCCTCCGTCTGACGAGGGGAAGCCTAGCGAGTCAGCAGGAAATGCCAGCAAACGATTCTGATGATGGAAACGAGAGGTTCCGAAACGTCAGTTTGAATAAAATCTGGTCCATGGAATCGCCTCATTTTCTTCGTTCTCCTCGGTGGATGATAAACACGATAATATATCTGGACCTCGAATCTTAACGCATATATATATATATATATATATATATATATATAAACCGTGCAGTTCTCCTATTTCTTGCCTTTTATGATGCGTTCGAGTATGATTGTGAAACGGCAGATGACTAAATCATCATCCCCAGAGCTTATCTAACCATCTTCAATCTTAACAACTGAGGTCAGCATTTTCGCTTATATCCATATATTCGATCTCCTACGTTTATATACACACATAATGATAGATGGACGCTTACCGATCGCGTTACTTAGCTCACTCGTTTAGTTGAGCCTTAAAGCTCTCTCCCGATTCCAATAAGCAGCCGCACAGCGGCGCATTTAATGGGCAAATTACTATTGCCGACAAAGACAAGGGAGTGTGAAATGACCATTTCTGCCTTATTGGCTGTTGTCAGCCAGTCATACTCTACAAGAAAGTGTGGAACGCCTGGGCCTCGATCCGGTGACATTTTGGTTAGAGGCCCAACACCTCTTACCTCTTTGCTATCATGTCATACTTCATATTAATATATTTGAATTGGTAATTTGCGCACACGTTTCAGTTGGCTGCCCAAAGCCAAGACGTTTTTTATGGATGACACTGCGCCCAGCTAATGGGTATTTCACTTACATGTCTAAAGTCGGCCAAGCCATGATAGCAGATGGAAGGACACTGAGTGATATCTAACTGTATCGGGCTTGTGCGTCATCGTTCACACAATGATAACCCTGACTACCAGCTGGCATCGGAAACACACACAGGCGCACACACGTGGCGCAGTTGATCAACCACGTATGTCCATCAGCTGGTTCACAAGCAATTCACCAAACCGAAGTTTATAATCGCTTTCGACCCGCCATTATTTGTTTCTGCAAATCGGATATCTATTTATTCAGGAATAGGCACACACCGTTTTATTAACTTCCCATAGGAAACAAATTTCTTATGGGTGAAAGGGGTCACGAACAGGCGACCACATATTATACCGAAGTCGGCCAAGCTATGATAGTAGAGGAACGTTGGCGTGGCACAAATGTACTTCTTTTCGATGCGGTGTTTATGACTCATTTGATGGACCGTAATGGCTAACTTAGGGCATCAGGCGTGCTCCCCCGTGTTTGTGTTTCCAGTGACAGCTGGTAGCCAGAGTTTTAAACTCCATTTGTAAAATTTGCGAAACGTGTACCCATGCAAAACCTGAGTGAATATAAGGGCTGAAATATAATAACAGTTAAACGTAATGCTTTACTGAAGACAACATTTAAATATCCTTTATCAGTAAGTGTAATTCGAGGTATGGCGCCTTACCAATAGCCTTCATTCTGAGCATGGATTCCGAAACAGTTTTCAGAGGATTCGTGGTATACTTTAGTCTTTTGAATTAATTAAGGTGCGGTTCTATAAGGCAAGCAAGGCTGCACTTGATTTCGCCAAAAGGGATATCATTGGAACAAACGTTTTCATCAGGTCGCCTGTTGCCGGACCGATTAATACCAAATAATTTAATAATTGGCATGTGTTATCGTACGCATACCCGTTTTTGTTTATAAAGGAGATTTTTGTCCCTTTACTTTATTTGCACTTTTTGTTCGTTTAGGATTATGTTGAGTTTCAGATCGGCCTTAAATTATCCGTGAATATTTTACGATTTTCAGTGTTTTTATGTGATTGCCCAAAAGGACACATTCTATATTATTTGCCTTTTGAAAGCTGAAATAAGGTACTTCTCGGAGGCATTTACCGAAGTATCAGGTGTTTGGGCTTTTTTTCATTCGAAATGTTATCACGCAAACAGGAAGCCTCGTCGTCGAACAACACGGAGGTCTCCAACCAATGTCAACATGGAATGCGCCTTATGTCAATCAGAAAACTTTCTCTAAGAAATTGAATCTTTAAGGGGTGGTTTAATATTGCATTCCGTTGACGGATGTCTGAATAATTTAATTTTTTGCACAGTGAGGCCAAGAAGGTATTCGATACTTTCGGCCGTTTCTTTCACTTTCTTAAAAAATACTGATATTTTTCCATCGCAAACATGCGAACATGCGGACATTTGAAATGTTTTTGCCCAACTTTAAACTTCGTTCAGCGATTGGGAACGCACGGCAGATTGACCATATATACTGATAATTTGTTGAAACTGTTAACGCTTTGTTCGTTCCATTTTATAATCATTTATGTGCAGAAGCTGGACAAAACAGAAATTAATATTTTGTGTCCAAGGCTAAAAATGACTGTTCTGTGGTGGTTGCTCCTGTGACAACACGTAGGATTTTGCAAACGGCAAAAAATATTTAGCCCATTGGAACGAACAATGGATGTGAACGTTATTACTTCACTTTCGGGTACCACACCATACAGATCTGCTACTCTGACTTCTAAAAATCGACTAAGCATATGGTTCCTTTAAAATAACATTTGCGTTAGGACGTTGATTACCGTGATCAGCATCGGACAAAAAAGTAATTTCCAAGTCCGGTAACTTGTGTTTATTAAAACTTTCTAGAGTCATTTACTCTCCTTTCAAAGAAAAGACCGCTCAGATGGGCAACTACAGTCCACAATAGGTATTGGCGTACAAAATTGCCCGAGTATACCACGACGTCCATTTTCACCCAAATTTATGAGCAGTTTGCTTAAAAAAATATGTGGACAAAACTTCTGACACGATCAGCACATTACCTAAAATAGGCTTGGCGAGTAAGCAAAATGTCCAACGTTTAAAGTCGTTCTATATTCTCACATTAGACTCTGTCACCAGATTTCATGAGATAGGTCACGTATTGCACTTTCTTCTTTCATAAAGGGTTTTGAATTCAGTTTTAGTCACTTAATGTCCTGAAAGAATGCACATGCTATAAAATAGTTTTGCGTCACATACTCCAGACTGTCATTTAGGTTGCAACAATCCGTGTTAATTTGAGTCATATGGCCCCATACATTTTTACTCCCCGCATCGGTCTATTTGAACATATGCGTGTCCACGAGAGCGGAATATACCGCCGTCTCGACAGTTCCAGCACCTCCTGCCCATCCATCAGGCCTAGCTCAACGTACACCCCTTCGCCCAGCACACCCAATACCATCGCCTGTACCACACTCAGTATATCCGGCACATCCACCATGCCTAATCCAACACGCACTGCGTCGCCCAGCGCGTCCAACATCAGCAACTCCACCACTGCCCTCATCTTAGAGACCGACATTGACACCACCGAATTTCCTGCCCTCAAACATCGGCCTGGTCGGCAACTTGCGAATCCATCGCACATAGACTGGCGAATCACTGCCTGGAGCACCCACATACACTCGCTGCATCGTTCTCTACTGCCCTCACTGCACCCGTACACACACCAATCGCATGGGCTTAGTAGGCCGCATGCGCATTCACGAAAATCTGCGGTATATGACCACCAGCTAAATCA